AAATTTGGAAGCTCTAGCTCGAAAGGTGTTGGAGATATAATTAAATAACTAGCTTTCGATAAGGTTTTTAATCGATAATAAAATATCGGGGGTAGATATCGATATATAGAGAAAAGCTTGATATGCGTGTAATATACACGGACCTAGAAAAAAATTTCAAGTCTCTAGCTCTTATATCTTCTGAGATCGACGCAATTGACTCAGCTCGTCGCCCTGATCAGGAATATATATACTTTGTGGGGTCTGCCACGCCTCCTTCTGCCTGTTACATACTTTTAGCAAAACTATTATACCCTGATTTCCCATTTTCTATGGGTTCAGGGTATAAAAACACACTTGCACTTTAAACATCTGTTTCATGCTTAATTGATGGCTTTAAAAAATTTGTCCATACATTTTAGTTACGAAGAACCACCAAATATCATTGAAATATTGCTATAAAAGCTAATCACAATATAATAATATTATTAACTTAATGTTTATACATATGTATATTCCGTCCCTTCGCGCCACCAAATAGTAAATTATCGATGGATGAAAAAAACATGGATATATCATGAGAGTCCAAATCCATCGATACTATCGATGGATTTGTAGCCCTAGTGCTCACTCACTACACACAAAGTAATCGTTACATAGAAAATACTCGTTACTTTTTATTTAAAGTACATAAAAAAGTCACACGACTATACAATAATACTTTTTAGTATTTTCGAGCATACTTGTATATTTGATATATGTATGTAGCAGGAGCATGCCAAGTAGCTGTGCGAGTTGTATTTACAAATTACAAATCAAAATTTTCTTCGATAAGCAATAGTTGTTTGTATGCAGCTAGAGTGAAAAAACTGTGTGAAATTACTGAGCAGCACTCGCTCGAGCGTCAATTTCACAACTAAAACGATTTTTCGAAGTTAATTGTGTCATTTTTGTGTGTGTGCTGTAGGTATATATGATTCTGTTTTGTGTGTATACAGAATTTTTTGTTGTTTTGTTTGAGTGCAAGCGTTTATATACACAAACACAAGCATGAGCCAATGTGTTAATGCGTGTGTTTGCGTGTGCTTATAGAATTTGGACAAATCAAAAAAAAAAAAAAAAAAAAAAAA